AATCATCAAACTATCAAACTCAGAGCCACTCTTGTTTCATCTATACTTCTATCCACTTTCCTCTGCCAAGATTTATCTTTCTGCCTCTTACAAGGGCACAACTCATCCAGGAGTCACCACCAGATTTAGATACCTCCCGCGGCTCCCTCATGTGCCCGTCTAGTCAGTATTCACCCACTTAAAAAGTGAGCACTACTCTGATCCCATTCTAATAGGTAATTATGCCTATTCTTCACTTTAAGATCGTGGAACAATAGAATTTAAGCTTTTTTATGTCTGGCTTCTTTATTTAACATTATGTCTATGAGACTTATCCACTATTGCTGATAGAGTTCATTATTCTTCATTGTCGCATCTATTCCATTATGTGAATATATTACAATTTATTTATGTAATCTCATATTGGTGGACAATTGAGTTGTTTTCAGTGTTTTGATTAAAACTTCTGTGAATATTCTTGTATACATTTTGATGACCATAAACACTCATATTTGTTGGATACGTATCCAGGATTATTTGGCAGAGGATATATGCACGTCCAGCTTTAAAAGATACTGCTTTGTTCTCACTTATAAGTGGGAACTTAAATAATGTGTACACATGGAAAAAGAGAGTGGAATGATACAGACAATGGAGACTTGGAAGGGTGGGTTGGTGGGAAGGGGGAGGATAATGGGAAATTATTTAATGGGTACCATGTGTGTTACTCTAGTGATGGATACACTAAAAGCCCTGACTTCACCACTATGCAATATATCAGTGTAAAAAAATTATACTTGCATGCCATAAGTTTATACAAAAGAAAAAAATAAATAAAAAGCTCAATAAAAGATACTGTTAAATGATGGTTGTACTACTTTACATTTCCACTAGGTATCAGTGTAAAAAACTTATACTTGTACGCCATAAATTTATACAAAAGAAAAAAATAAATAAAAAGCTCAATAAAAGATACCGTTAAATGATGGTTGTACTACTTTACATTTCCACTAGGTATCATATGACAGTTTCAGTTGTTTTATATTTTATATCTTTATCAATACTTTATATTGTCAGTCTTTTAAATTTTAGTCATTCGGTAAATGTGTAGTGTTACCTTGTTGTAGTTTTTATTTACGTTTCCCTGAAAAAAAAGAAAGTGAACATACTTGCCTATATTCTTTTATGAAGGGCATACTTAAGTCTTTTGCCCATTTTTGGAAATGGGGTATCTGTTTTTTCCTTACTAATAATTTTCTTATTAATTGGTAAGAGTTTTCATATCTTGGATATGGGTCCTTTTTTTGGTTGTATGCATTACAAATACTTTCTCTCACTAGTCACTTTCTTAATGGTATCTTTTGATAACTAAAATAAAATCTTAATTTTAACAAATTACAATTCATCTATCTTTTCATTACAATTAGTGTTTTTTATGTTCTATTTAAGAAATCTTTTCCTGTCTAAGGGCATGAAGATTTTCTCCTGGAAATTCCACTGTTTTACATTTTTCATTTAGGTCTAAGAGGTAGCTCAAATTAATTTGCATATATGGTATGATACAGGAATCAATGTTTATTTTTAACATATGAATCTAATTGATCTAGCATCATTTATTGTGAAGATAATTCTTCCCCCATTGAATTACAGTGGTGCCTTTGTTATAAATCAGGTGATTATGAAAAACGGGCTTGTTTCTGGACTCTATTTTGTACCATTGATCAATCTGATTATTCTTATGTCAATTAACATAGTGTCTTAATTATTGTAGCTTTATATCAAGTCTTAGTATCTAGTAATATGGTTCATCTCCTTGTTCTTCAAAGGTTTTCCACAGTCTAAAGCATACAGTACAAATGTCTTTGTATAAAAAACTCTTTTTCATTTCAGAGTTCAAATTTTTATAAATAACTACATGTTTGATATTTGCAATAGGAGGCATTTAATAAATAAATATATGTTGATATGAATTAGGTGGGCATAGGACTTCTTTTGAATCCTTGCAGCAATAAAAACCAAAATAAAACACTACCACTCCACATCCTTACTATGAAACTGGAAGATGTAGATATTTAGCCTAAAGAGTTAGTGCTACCTTTTACAAAAGTCTCATGGAATAAGAAAAGGTAAGCAAGATGTTGATGGGGATACCTCTGTTTCTTGAAACTCTTAAAATGGTTATCATGTTCCTATTACCAAAGCATGTAAGCATTAGAGTAAAGAAGGAGGAAACGGAAGAAAAAAATGTAAGCAATGGAATTTTTTTTTAGATGATACTTTTGCCTCTTGCCTTCTTCCTAGCATGGAATTTCAGACTAGCTGAATGGTTCTTAGAGCATACTGATATAACATCTTCTACATAGTTAGTTTTAGAGAAGTTCAATTTTTGAGAGGCTATTATAGAGGGAGAAGAGGGTAAGGCAGTCTGTAAAGTTATCTAATCTATAGTTTTGCTAGTGCTGCTTAAATTGCTTTGGCAGGAATATCAGTGTATTTCATGGTTGGAAAAGAATTTTTGTGTGTGTGGATAGTGAAGGCAATCATTTTCAAGTATGTTTGCCAAGTTCCACAATACAGAAATGACTGGTTAACACTATGAATTATGATTTAGTGCTATCTGATGAAAAGGCAAAAAAAAAAAAGGCCTTAAAAATGTTTTACTAGGTCTCTCTAAATATTCTCTATATTTCGATTTTCATAAGTACACATTTAACTCTAGTCTTAAAATACCTTTAATTTGGCTGTTTTCTGAGCCTCCAGAGCAATCTTTCTTAAATTCTCAGTCTCTTTCTGTAACTGCTCATTTTCTTGCTGAAGTTTAAGCCTTTGTTCACTGACAAATCCACAGTTCTTTCTCTCAGACTCCAATACATTTTGAAGTTTCTGGATCATTTCTTGGGAACGTGATATCTCTTCTGAGGAACTAATTAAAAAAAATGAACAGAATCTTTAAACTTAATGATCTGTAGAAGTCAAGAAGTCAGTCTACATTTTATATTATAGACTTTTGTTTTCTTTATTCTGAGCCATTTCTTTTCACTTTAGACTTAAACTTTGTGGTTTCAAAATGTTATGTTATACCCATCTCGTTGGGTGAGACAACCTCTATACATGAATGTTGCTTCAATCAATATACTGCTAATTTTTATCCCAGCTTTTAAAATTTCCATCTTTTCAATCCCAGATAATCAACCATCGTGAACACTCCCTGGTCAATAGGTGTCACAGGGAATATATAAATGCTACTAATAGCTTGATAGCTTAAGAAAACTACTGGTTAAAACCTAGAGATGAAAGGAGACTAAGAAACATAGCATTCCTAGCATTCCTGAAACCAAAAGTGGACAGGAGAACTGACTCTCAAAAGAAGCCCTTTGAATGAAGTAACTATAAGAAAACATTCATCAAATACACCTTAAAGCACATATGAAAACTTAGATTGGAGAAAAACCCTATATATGT